TTTTGGCAATTTATTTGCTTAAGCGAATTTATTCAATTGAATTTAATGCGCTCGCTCCAAGTACGTATGTATGTGTGTATATATTTGCTGTCACCCCCGCCACTCAATTATTGGATGCCATCGAGCGAATAAATTGCCTAAGGATTTTGTTTGTGGGAGAACAAAATGTCATTTCTCACTCTTGCTGTTGTTCAGTTGGATTCTCACAATAGAATCTGCGAGCAATGAAAAAATAAATGTTGAACAACGAAAACATCTCGCAATGGAAGTGGGTACTCTAATCATTGCTCTTTTAAATATGAAAAATATTTTTCTTTTTGATTTGTCTCCATTGTGTGGAGATGGTTTATGATTACAAGAAATAAATAAGATTAAATAGAAAAAAATGCAAATGTGTGGGTAGGAAAAATCTGAAAGAATCCAAAATGACAGGGAGGTAGATCAGAAGAAAATTTCGATCAAAGAGGGGTACAGTGGCTAAAAATTGCATAATTAAAAAAAACTTAAGTCGATAAAAAGGAGGGTGAAGGGAAGGCTGCGCAAAAAATTATAACAAAAATCCCGAACCAGGAAGTTCTTTAATGAAAATAAGGCCATTCCGAATTGGTGAGGATTGTCAAAATCTGTGCAGAGGTTCCTGACATATAAGCGAAATAACTGGAATGATTTTCTTTTATTATTTTGCTATATATCCAATAATTTTGGCCATAAGCATCGCTGTAATGGCCAGACGTGACCTCTCAATGAACCGGGTAAGATGACAAAAACTGCAACCAACTTCAGACTGCTGTCATTTCTAAGCCACTCGTCCGACAGCTGTTAAAATTATTCCAGTGGTAGCTCATTATATTGTTTACAAGCGTATAAAAGCATTTTGGTGAGAATTTTCCAGAAAAAAAGTTATTCGTGAGGGAATTCAAGCGTGATAATGTGATTTCTTTATATTAGGCTGGATAACCACAAGTGGCTATCGTTAGAGCACTCCAGCATTAAATGTGAATAAGACTTTTGTGTGTCGTACCATCGCCCATTACCGTGATACTGGTAGCGTAGCCCGACGTCAAGAAAGTGGACGGAAGAAAACAGCAACATCAGCAGAAATGGTCCGAAAAGTAAAGAAGCGACTTGATCGAAATCCACGTCGTAGTGGTCGAAAATGGCTCGTGAGCTGAACATATCGCAATATTCTATTGAAATTCCAGAAAGTGCAAAAACTTAAACCGCAACAGAAAGAAAATAGACTCAAAAGGGCTAAAGAATGGTTTCGCTTGGCCGAAAGTGGTGAACTGCCGATGAGAAAACATTCGTTGTCCAGCAGTTTGAAAACAAACAAAATGATCGTGTTTACTTGCCAAAGAGGTCAGCTGAAAATGTGCACCTTCGGTTGGCCACCAGAACTCAAGCGCCGCCCATGATGATGATGTGGGCCGCCATAACAGCCGATGTAAATCGACTGTGACATCAGAATAAATGCCGAATATTATCGCGAAAATATTCTGGAGGGTGTATTAAAGCCTTGAACACGCAAACATTTTGGCCACAGACCTTGGACATTCCAACAGGACTTAACACCATAACACTTAGCACGCGCCACCCAAGAATGGTTACAAAAGGAGGTTCCTCGCTTCATTTCCAGCGCACAATGGCCACCAAAATCTCCAGATACCAATCCGTTGGATTATTGTGTCTGGAGTATTTTGGAAAGCAAGGTTGGCTCTAAAAAATAACAATGTGTCGATCGCCTCAAGCAAGCGCTTCGCTGGGAATGGGCCAAAATACCGCCAAAGGTGACCAATTCGAACAAATCTAAAATTTGATTCAATTTCCGAAATGTTTTGCTTTCATTCAATACAATTAAAAAAAAAAAAAAAAACAAGTTAAATAGCCGTAAGTTCTTTGAACTTTGAATACCCTCCACCATTTTCAACGAATTTGGAACTTTTCAAAAAATAAAATCCGTTAAAAATTCTGTTAAAATCTTAAAAATACAGAATATAGCCATTATATTGGGGTCTAAACGACGTGGGCCATTACCATATTCAAATTCGAAACTTGAAATAAACGGTGAATAATGTAGCTAAACTCATCAAAATATCATATTTCTATGAGTATTGTACCTAAAATCATCAAAATACCGAATATCGGGAGACAATTTTCTGCCATAGCCTGTAGTATCCATTACGAACATCAAATACCAAAATTGAAACAATTCCGCTGAATAATGTCGGTAAAATCATTAAAATGCCGAATACAGGGAGGTACCGTTATATGGGGGCTGTATGAAAACGTGGACCTATATTTACGAACTTAACCTGCCTACTGGAAAAATAAACATGTGTGTAAAATGTTAGGCCTCTATTTCAATTCGTTCGAAAGATTGCGTGATTACAACAGACAGACGGACAGACAGACAGACGGACATCGCTAAATCGACTTAATCGCTGATCAAGAATATATATACTTTGTTGGGTCTGACATGAGTAATTCGAGGAGTTACAAACGGAATGACAAAATTAATATGCCCTCCATAGTATGGTGGAGGATATAAAAATGTAAAAATAATTGTGTCTGATTTTGTTGCAGTTTTTTTATCTCACCCTGTATTTGTGATTTCGCTGGGTTTAGAAGTATTCGCAGTTTAGTGTTTTAAAATTTTCTATTTCACCCGCTATGTATTATTCGATGACCATTCAAATTGGTAAGCTTCTGCCCAGCCCTAAACTCTAACTCCATGCAAAATTCCGCGTCGAATGATCTGTAGAGCAACTGCAAAATCAGGAACTTCTTCGGTTTTTGGTCCATTCAACACCTAAATATCTTGCGATCATCTCCAAAAATAATAGGCTTCTATTCTGACCCTAACACCAGCTCCATTTTTAATTTTGTGAGGATCGGGCCATAATTGCGACCTGTAGCGTGATTAGAAATTAAAATGGACAGACGGACGGAAGGACATACATAGTTAGATCGTCACAGCTCGGCGAGATAGGAAGATCCATACATACCTTCCTATATGTACGACCAATATTTCAAGGGGTTACAAAATTGTTGGCCCAATCAAACTTATAATACCCCCAATACATAGTGTTGTAGGGTATAATAAGGAGGTAGTTAGGTTGATTTGTAAGTAGTCGCAACTGCCAAATATTGTGTAGGAAACTCATAGCAGTGGATGGATAAACCTTTTGTTCCCGTGTGCTTCTCTCATACTGCTCATACGATGTTCGTCTTGATTTTGAGGGTGGGAAAGAAAATCAACACCGGATTTGCATTTCACAAATATATGAAGATATTAGTGTAAATTGGTGCCAGTTTTGATGTTTACACCTCCGTCATTGTGTTGCGGCGACGATGTAAACAACAAAACGGCGTTGCGATTTTTATGTGGTTCTTTAAGAACCATTGTTGTTGTTTTTATACCCTCCACCAAAAAAAGTATGGAGGGTATATTAAGTTCGTCATTCCGTTTGTAACTCATCGAAATAATCATTTTAGACCCAACAAAGTATATATATTCTTGATCAGAGTAAAATTCTAAGACGATTTAGCCCTGTCCGTCTGTTGTAATCACGCTACCGTCTAAACGAATTAAGATAGGAAGCTAAAATTTTGCACAGATCTCTCTTTTGTCTGCAGGCAGGTCAAGTTCGAAGATGGGCTATATCGGTCCACGATATCGTATAGCCCCCATATAACGCTACCCCCGATATTCGGTATTTTGATGATTTTAGCCACATTTTTCAATGGAATTGTCTTAAAATCCATACAAGTAGTTCCTTGTGAGTACTCCACCCCCTGAGAGAGAATTATCAATACAGGTCCACGATATCGTATATCCCCCATATAACGGTACCCCCCGATATTCGGTATTTTCATGATTTTACCCACATTTTTCATTGGAATTGTCTTAAAATCCACACAAGTAGTTTCTTGTGAGTACTTCACCCATTGAGAGAGAATTATCTATATAGGTCCACAATATCGTGTAGCTCTCATATAACGGTACCCCCGATATTCGGTATTTTGAAAATCCACACAAGGAGTTCCTTGTGAGTACTTTACACGCAGACATAGATTTGTCTTTATAGGTCCACAATATCGTATATCCCCCCAATGTTCTAATTCGTTCCAAATGGTGGAGGGTATTCAAAGTTCGGCCCGGCCGAACTTACTGCTCTTTTACTTGTTTATTCTCTATTATTCGATAAGGTAATAAACCAGATTTGCATCATAACTACGATCCAGAGTACTACAATACTACATGACAGTCCATCAGTCAGCCGTACTCATGCGAGGTTGGTTTTGTATGGGGCTTACCATGAGCCTAGAATGAAATACATTTAAATTTTTAACGACACTTTATTTGTCTGTTTGTGACAAGAGTTATTGACTTAAGGAGAAAGAACACTATGAGAGCGGGTGGGGAGGTAGTGGGTGAATGGTTTCCCGCATTGGCGTTTTGATTGAGATCTTTTAATAAATAAATGAGATTTCCTTGCTGGGGGAAGGTTTGGGTGTGCTACAGCGTGTGGGTGATGGTGAAGTGTGATAAGCCCGAGTATTGGGTTGTTTACTTGACTTGACTGTCTCACTGTCTGTCATCCAACAACTTACTAAATAAATGGCCCAAGCACTTTGTCATAATTTTCTTTGAGCTGAGCTAGAAAATTGATGGTCGTTGATGGTGGTGGTGTCGCGGCGTTGTCATGGAATAAATTTCAATTTAGTTGCGAATTTACATTCAAAGTGTTAAGACATCAGGTCATAATCCACAAAAAAAGAAAAAAATATGATAATATGACAGAATTAAACTTAATGCATAATAATGCAATTATAATTACAATAGCAATAACAACAATCATCAACCAATAAAAACACAACCATTTAAATACTGTGATAATTCAATCGGTGTCAAAAAAAGTGATAGTGGAAATCGAATTTGCCTAAAATGCCAAAACTGGTTCTATTTTTTTTTTGCAATTGAAACCTCACATAAATCTAATACGCTATTTATCTTTTTTCCTTTCAGTGTTTTTAATAACAAAAAAATACATTTAACGAAATCATTCACAATTACATTAAACATCCCCTATTGAAGTGAAAATTCAAGGCATTGTTGTTATCCGAAAAAAAAAAAAAACAAAAGAAAAATTTTAAAGAAGAAGTGAAATAAGTTTTTTATAAAATAGTTATTTTTTAAATTAAACTAGCCAAATAAATTGAAATTGATCATCCGATTTTAATACAACAAAAAATAGTGAACAAATTCTAATTCTAATAGAAAAATCAAACAAGCAACAAATTTTTAACAAAGAAAAAATTAAATTGTGAAAATGTTTTAAAATTTCTCGTGACTCGAAACAACTTAGGAAAAGCACTATCTTTATGGATCTTAATCTTGTGGGCATTTAAGGTAAGTTAAGATTGATTTTCTATATATATAAAATAGGAAAATGTTTGTATGTTTGTTTGTAATATATATAATGTTTGTATAATGGAATCAAAAACCACTGCACAGACTTTCCTGACCATTTCCAAGTACACTTTAACATCGCCTGAAAGTAACATAGGCTGTATACATTTTTATACCCTCCAACAAAAAAGGATGGAGGGTATATTAAGTTCGTCATTCCTTTTGTAACTCATCGAAATAATCATTTTAGACCCAACAAAGTATATATATTCTTTATCATATATTGATTCTAAGACGATTTAGCCCTGTCCGTCCGTCTGTCCGTCTGTTGTAATCACGCTACAGTCTAAACGAATTAAGATAGGAAGCTAAAATTTTGCACAGATCTTTCTTTTGTCTGCAGGCAGGTCAAGTTCGAAGATGGGCTATATCGGACCACGATATCGTATATCCTCCATATAACGGTACCCTCGATATTCGGTATTTTGATGATTTTACCCACATTTTTCATCAGAATTTTCTGAAAACTACACAAGGAGTTCCTTGTGGGTACTTTATACCTCGGCAGAGAATTATCTATATAGGTCCACCATATCGTATAGTGCCCATATAACGGTACCCCCGATATTTGGTATTTTGATGTTTTAAGCCATATTTTTCAACGGAATGGTCACAAGGGGTTCTTTTCGAGCACTTTACCCCCCGACAGAGAATTCTCTATATAGGTTAACGATAACGATACCCCGCGATATTCAGTATTTTGAAAATCCACACAAGGAGTTCCTTGTGAGTACTTTACACGCAGACATAGATTTGTCTTTATAGGTCCACAATATTGTATATCCCCCCATATCGGCACCTTCCTATATTAGATATTTTAAAGATTTTAAAAGAATTTTTAAAATTAGATTTTATGTTTACATATCTATTGATCGATTACGGATACAGTATCCAAATTTTTAATGCATAACAGTATTTGGAACAAAAATAAAATTTGCCAAATTATATTCAAATAGGTACAGATTTGAATATAGCTTCCACATATATTTTAGGCCGATATTATGTATTTGATGCTTTTATCACGCTGTGAACGCCATATTTCAATGAAATTTGGAATGTGTGATGGAATTTATCTCAAAAAATTTTTTTGTCAAATTATATTGAAATCGGTTCAGATTTGGATATAGATCCATATATATTTTCGGCCAATTTGACATATATGTGATGCACCAAACACGATACGTATGTCCGATTCCAATGAAATTTCGGCATGAGTGACTAATTTGATACAAAAATAAATCAAATTATATTTAAATCGGTTCAGATTTGGATATAGTTCCCAATTATATTTTCGACTGATTTTGTTTATTTGATTCCAATGAAATTTGGAATGTGTGACGGGATTTGATCAGAAAAAAATTTGTCAAATTATATTGAAATCGGCTCGATTTTACATATTTGATGCACGAAACGATATGTATGTCCAATTCCGATGAAATTCGGATGGAGAGACGAAATTTGCTACGAAAAAAAATTTCAAATTATATTGAAATCGGTTGAGGGTTGGGTACAGCTCCCATATATAAAACTGCAACAAGATAAAAAAACTGCAACAAAGTCAAATGCCATAATTTTTACATTATTTTTAAAAAATGTCGGAAATAGCATCAAATTTTAAAGTAAATTTAGATTTGTTCGAATTTGGTCTCACGCTACCTGCGGTATTTTGGCCCATTCCCAGCGAAGCTCTTGTTTAAGGTAATCGACACTTTGGCATTTTTTAGTGCCAACCTTGTTTTCGAAATACTTCAGACTCCAGACACAATAGTCCAACGAATTGGTATCTGGAGATTTTGGTGGCCATTGTGCGCTGGAAATGAGTCCTGTTGGAATGTCCAAGGTCCGATGAAGCGAGAAATTTCATTTTGCAACCATTCTTGGGTGGCGAGTGCCGATTGCGATGGTGCTGAGTCCGGTTGGAATGTTGGCTTTAATACACCCTCCAGAATATTTTCGCGATAATATTCGGCATCTGTTCTGTTGCCAACGTCGATTAATACGAGCGGAGAGCGACCATCGGGTGTTATGACGGCTCACACCATTACCATGGCCACCGCTTGAGTTCTGGTGGCCAACCGAAGGTGCTAATTTTCAGCAGACCTCTTAGGCAAGTGAACACAATAATTTTGTTTGTTTACAAACTGCTGGACAACGAATGTTTTCTCATTGGCCGTTCACCACTTTCGGGGCAAAACGAGGCAAGTGCCAACCTTGCTTTTCAAGCCTTGAGTATATTTTCTTTCCGTTGCGGTGTAAGTTATTGTAATTTTTGGAATTTCAAGTGCTTTACCCCGAGCTCATTTTTCAATATTTGCCGAATGGAATATTGCGATATGTTCAGGTCATGAGTCATTTTACGGCCACTGCAACGCGGGTTTCGATCAAGTCACTTCTTTACTTTTCGAATTATTTCTGCTGATGTAGCGATATATATATATATATATATATATATATATATATATATATATATATATATATATATGTATATATATATATATATATATATATACATATATATATATATATATATATATATATATATATATATATATATATATATATATATATATACATATATATTTATTCATGACCAGCATAAAATTCTATGTCGATTTATCGATGTCCGTCCGTCTGTGCGTCTATCCGTCCTTCCGTCCTTCCGTCTGTTGGAAATCACTCTAGCTTCCGAACGAATTGAAGTATGTTTATAGAATTTTACTCAAGTATATATTATGTCTGCAGGACTTTTGGTATTGAAAATGGGCCAGGTAGGTCCACGTTTTGGTATAGAATTGTTAACCGATTTTATTTTTTTGAAAATTGCTAAATTCGTTCCAAGTGGTGGAGTTTTACAGTTTTTTTACTTGTTTTTAATCCGAAAATATCCTGGTTACTTGTTTAAGGGTTAAAATGTGTGACCAAAATATTTCTCATATTGTTATCCGAATACCCTTAACATGTAAAATGCAACCATTTCCATGGGGTCTTATTTTTTTTTTAATATTGACAAGGGTGGATTTTTCTTTTATTTAGGTTATTTTGTGATGTAAACTTTCATAATCGTCTGCGTTGTTTTCTGTATTTATTGAAAACATTAAATTTTCTTGCACCGGGTAATGTCAAAATACTCACCCACTCTCATTATGCTGCATTATCTATTATTTGGTTTGGTTTGACTTAAACATTTTGTAGATAAAACAAATACTTCACCTTTGGCTCCCTCCTCGAAATAGAATCGAAACCTCGTTAACAACGCTCGAATAACTGACAAAACAAAATAGCAAACAACAATAAGCCGGATCAATGTGTCATCACAAGCGACAACTAACCAATACTGACAACAATGCTCTGTAAATCCTTCCATCATCGGCGTTGTCAGCGCCATCGTCATCTACCTGCAATTTTCGGATGATGTGTCGATAATGGGAAACAAATAAACCAACCAACCAACCATCTGACAAAGGTGAATGATGATGAGCTGCAGTAAATGGAGAATCTATCTGTCAATTGGGTGGCGGGGTGATGCTGGGTTGATTGGGGATAATAGCAATTTTTGTGGATATCTCCATGTGAAAAAGGGCGTGTATTTTCTGTTGTTGTTGTTGCCCTTGTTTGTTTTGTTAGTCAAAATCAAAAGCATAAAACAAAACGATGAACTTTGTGTAGCATTTTTATCAATGTTTGCATTTTTGTGTGTGTTTTTTTGTACTTGGATTTCTGTTCTGCCATTCAGTCGTTATGTCAAATTTTCTTTGCAAATGAAGGAATTGTTTGAAAAGAGTTTTTCATTATTTTATGTTTTTTTATTGTGTGTGTGTGTGTCCATCTTTTGCAACTCTACTTCATTGTATCCTTTTTTTAATACCAGACAAACATACTTACCTTAGTTTGCTGCAAATTCAGTACTTGCAGGCACCACTAGATAATGGAGTAGTTTTTGTTGGTGTTGGGTAAACATATTTTGTTTCCCAGTGACAGCTTTCTTCAGTGTTCTCCCTTAACAGCTGTTTGTGTGTCTATGTATATATGTGTGAATGTTTCAGAATCACAAGAGTTCACCACCACCTACATGATAACAACAATATTAATTTTTACGTCAATTCTATTGAAGAGTTGCCATATCTTTTTTATGTAATCATTATTTTAGTGAGTTTATTTTTATTTTTTGACAGATAGAAAAAACGTCATTCGAAAAATTTGGGTTGATAAGGGTTTAGAATACCAGTCCAAGGATCTGCTTTCATTAAACTTTGAAAAAATCAGTTTTTTCATAATAAAGGGAAAACCGCAGTAGACCTAGGAAGAAAAGCTAAAAATAGAAGATATCTGTATCGACGTATTGAAAGCTTACGCCGCAAAGTAACCTATGTAGGAAAGGCACATTCCCCCCACTTTCATATTTTTTTGATATCGATACGTTGATTATTTTGGTTAATTTGGTTAACAGTGGATTTAAAAAATGGATATTTCCAGAATAGAAATCGTGGATTTTTAAGGTGTTCTAGAAAGTTCAAAATATTCTTTCGATTATTTTTAAAGAACCAGCAATAGCGGTTTAGGACATTCGTGCATTAAACAAGTAAAAAAGCTGTAAGTTCGGCCAGACCGAACTATGAATACCCTCCAACATTTGAAACGAATTTGGCAATTTTCAAAAAAAAAAATCCGTTAAAAATTCTGTTAAACGAATGTAGACATTATATTAGGGTTGTCTATACGACGACGTGGACCTGCATAGGCAACTTTTGTCATTAGCCATTAAAAATATTCAAATGCGAAACTTAAAAAAATAATCGGTAAATAATGTAGCTAAAATCGTCAAACTACTGAATATAGGAAGGTACCATTATATGGGAGATATACCAAAACGTGGACCTGCATACAAAAATCTTTGTCATAGGCTGTAGTACCCGTTAGGAACTTTAAATACCAAATTTGAA